GGTTCTTGTGTCTTACTGTAACGTTTCTCTAATGGTTCTTGTGTCTTACTGTAACGTTTCTCTAATGGTTCTTGTGTCTTATTGTAACGTTTCTCTAATGGTTCTTGTGTTTTACTGTAACGTTTCTCTAATGGTTCTTGTGTTTTACCTACTAATAGATGAATGATTATCTCTAATATTTCAACTGTTTAACATACAATGTCTTAGCACGTACTGTACGTCTTTTGTTCAGTACTAACACTGTATTCTACCAACATGAAATAACGCGTACCTCTAAACAAGAGGAATTATTTGAACACGATAGCGTTCAATATGTCCACTACCTTTATGATAAATAACTCATTTACTTTAGTCTTACTGACTTTACCGAATTCTATGGAGAATAAAATCTGATATTTTTGCTTCTAATTCTTTATTGTAGGGGTATTTTTTACCTTTACAGCACCTTATGCACACATGAGGTCAGAGACCCTACTTCTGAGGAAAGGCAGCTCTAACCTTGGGCCTTCCGTAATATCAAATATAGATCGTTAAGTAGTGGATATAACTTAACTATATACTCACGTGATTCGGAGCGTAGCCATATCCGTAAGTAGGAATACCAACTCTAGTTCCAATGTAGGGGCCAAGATAATTCCCCCCAAAAACAGCTGTCGCGGTAGCTAAGAAAACAAAGAGCTGAGGGAGAAAAATAAGGACTATTAGTTTTATGCGCTGTTTAAAATGAATGATGTAGAAAATGCCCCAAAATTTTAATTCAAATATCGAGACAAGAAATATTTTTTTGTTTTAACACTGCAGAAACGCAAACCCGCATTTACAGTTACTCCTAACAGGAGTTAAGCCTAATTTATACTTACTGACTGTATAGGAGTTAAGCCTAATTTACACTTACCGTCGTTACAGGAGTTATGCCTAATTTACGCTTACTGACTTGAGAATAGTTAAGACTAATAGACGCTTAAAGACTTTGTTGGAGTTAAGCCAAATTTATGGTAATTGATATTGTGTCATGTTTTTAATTACTTTTTCTTTAATTATGTTGTATTTAGCGCCAAGCTTTTATTTTAAGATATCTAGCAATCTCCTTAACTACCTGTCTAGCTGTCAGTTTTATATTGTAAATATTTCTAACAAGTTTATTTCCACATTTAACACTATTGTAGTTGCAATCTCTAGTCCGCAGTAGGATTGTGAGTATTTTATGACACGACAGGCTTCTGGAATATTCTGGAATTTGAGATAAGCGGGATTTGAATCCACGCGGAAGCAAAAAAAAAGTTTCAGTTTTAACTTTTTGGAATGCTGCTTATGATAAGAATAGTTTTTTGAAGTAATATAACCTCAATCAACATGAAATAAGAATTCCTATAAAAATTGAAATTGTGTTTGTTTATTTTCGGATATTCACGAAAAGCTACTTGAGGGTTATCTGCACTAACTATTTCTAATTTTGAACTAATAGACTAGAGGGATACCAGCTATAACACACACCGCTAACTCTTGTCTGCCCACATAATGGGAGTTGGCTGCTACCTTTATAACGCACCCATGATCATAAACAGCAGAGCGCAATTTTCTCTGTTACGTTTTCGGTAATAGGACACGAACAATGCGATCAGCAGATCCATAGTCCGGCTGCTAACCCTCGGACCACGGTCATCCCGGTGATGATAACAGTAATACTTTTAGTTTAATTACTGCATGTATAAACTACAGTACTGACTGTCCAGTTTATATCAAAACATAACCCTGACACCTCTTAATGTTACCCTGTTATTACCTTTACGATCATTCTTATTCTACCAGTGGTAAGGTTTCCACACCAAGACAACTTCTCCCGCTGGAGTCTGTTTGTATGTGTTCTCTCTGTCACTAGTTTTTATAGTCAACAGGTCGTTTCGTGTTCCCTCAATCTGGGCATGAGTTTAAAATGATTAAAATCGACCACGTCACTTGTACCAATCTCCATTTCAAGTGCACGAACTGTAACCAAATAGAGGTCATAGTGAGAGGTGGGAGATGATGAATAAAGGAAGAAGCATAAAAAAGTTTTACCTGCAAAAGTTTTGTGTTTATTTAAACATGTTATTAGATTGTTTCTTGGAGAAATAAAAAAGCTTCTTATTCAATTTTAAGTTTAAGATAAAAATCTAATCTGACAGATAAATCTGAGAAAATCAAGAATTAGGCTTAGGTATATAATTAGGCTTAAGTACATAAGACATATGAAACTAGCGCCCCCTTCCCCCGCCTACATTTATGTAGGGTAAAGAGGAGAAAATAGGACTTATTTGCCCCCTCTGGTGTCGGAAGGAAGTTTCTTTTGTTATGGTTTAGGATAAACAACAGTTTCAAAGAAAGCGTAAGTAGATCATCAAACACTGTTCTACTCTTGAATCTAGGGACTAATCTGCCATCGCCCGTCCTCTTGCGTAGGTATTCGGTCTAGTGCTGACAAGGTGGCCGTTGGTAAAATTTGTAAAGGTAGATATAAAATATACTAGACAGTCAAAATTAATGATTCTTTTTGTAGCTACTTTCTCGTTTTTAATTAAGTTTTTTTTTTTAAATAGATATCTGCGTTTAATTTTCAAGAGTTAAACACATGCTCATTATTGGTGTGTGTGTTTGGGGGGTACGTTCTATGTTATATTTGTAGAACAATCTTATTTAAACTAAATTTTAAAAAATCAGCATCTCATCTGATGTTGAAAAATAATAATCTTTTGCGTTCATTATGAGATATCTATTCGTCAATCTGGTGAGTTAACATTCACATCAATCTCAATTTAAGGTCATTAAGTACACATTTACTTCTGAAAGATATTCGAACATCTACAATGAAATTTTATGAAAACAAAAGGGAGCATTAAATAAGTTAATCTTTAATTCAAGATTGTTTTTTAATCACCAGTCGGGCGTGGATTAATGATTAGCGTGTTTAGATGTGAGGGTTCGAGACATGATCTGCTGAACATGAAACGTAATTTCCACCGTTATAAAAGGGGAAACTCAATCTCGTCATTCGCTTAAAAAACAAAACAAAAAAAACGGGTCTCCCGATAGATCGTGATAACTTTATGTACTTACAATGCTAAAATCCAGAGTTTGATTCTCCACAGGAACAAACATGGACAATGATTTTCTCGCTGCCTGTATTCCATCTGGTCAGTCCACAGTTAGCACATAAGGTACCGTTCATTGTGAAAATGCAGCTCCATTATTGTCACTAAATGTGTCTGTTTCTTAATTTTCTCTCTCGTAGTGATGTAACATGTTGACTTACTGACCATGTTGTAACATGTTGACCATACTGACTATGATGTAACATGTTGTCCCTACTGACTATGATGTAACATGTTGACCTACCAGCTATGATGTAACATGTTGACCATACTGATTATGATGTAACATGTTGACCATACTGACTATGATGTAACATGTTGACCATACTGACTATGATGTAACATGTTGACCATACTGATTATGATGTAACATGTTGACCATACTGACAATGATGTAACATGTTGACCATACTGACCATGATGTAACATGTTGTCCCTACTGACCATGATGTAACATGGATTAACAGTTTTCCAATAAGTGTTATATTTGTTCTTAAAAAACACATCCTGTGTCCTCATGTATCACTAGAAGGACAAGTTTAAGTAAATAAAAACGAGTTTCGAACATGCATGACTAAACCGAAACTTAGGACGACTCTTCCCAAATTCTCATTACTTTCAGTCCTTTCCTTCTATCTCTCTCTCAACTGGATTGATCGTTATCAAGTTACACCTTTCTTATTTTGTCCATAATGAAAACAGTTAGAACGTAGATAAAAACGTGTTTCGTTATAATAAGTAAAAATAAGTAAAATCTATATCAACTTGATTTGATTTTATAACAAAGCCACACTGGGCTATCTGCTGTGTCCACCTCGAGGAATGTGTGTTTTTATTAAAACAAAGCCACACTGGGCTATCTGCTGTGTCCACCTCGAGGAATGTGTGTTTTTATTAAAACAAAGCCACACTGGGCTATCTGCTGTGTCCACCTCGAGGAATGTGTGTTTTTATTAAAACAAAGCCACACTGGGCTATCTGCTGTGTCCACCTCGAGGAATGTGTGTTTTTATCAAAACAAAGCCACACTGGGCTATCTGCTGTGCCCACCGAGGAGGAATCGAATCCTTGATTTTAGCATTGCAAATCCGTAGACTTACCGCTTTACCAGCAGGAGTCCCCACGGCGAGGAATCGAACCCCGGATTTTGGCGTTGTAAGTCAGTAAAATTACCGCCATCTCACCGGGTAGCATATTTGCATTACGAAAGAGTATGCGAGTGAGGCTTAAACATTGGCACCTGAATCAAAGTATTACACTAAATAATTTTTATAAATGGACAGTAACTTTGGAGATGGGCATATACGTTGTTGATACATTTCTTTGTAAGTAGTTGGGACTTTTTGAATAATAATAATGACATACAAAGTTGCTATATACAGTTAAAGGTTAAGACTTAACGTTGTCACGATAAAATCCGGAGTTTGATTCCCTGCCGTGGATAGAGTACAGATAATCAATTAGTGTATAGCTTTGCCCCAAAACAAACATATTACCAGCGCGATAAAATTATATAACACTGTAATTCACTGCACTATGGTAATTTCTTGGCGGTCCCTAGATGCTATCACCTTCTGCTTATGTCCGTTAGGTGCGGTTTGTAACGTCCTGTTCCCTAACCTATTGTTATCTTCGCTCCACTTTCATCTCAACAATGGACAGTGTTATAGACTTTGAGAAAAGGAAAAACGGGCCAAGCGTAACAAAAGGCCTACATCATTGTTAGCATGCTACGTTCACTCGAAATGTATATGTTACTCCTAGTACGGATACGTAATTTGTCGTAATACAAATGGCAAGTTGAAAACACACCAGTTTAAAGTCGATGACGAGGAACCCACTTTGAGACTAATAATGGTTGGAGACGGCTTGAATGGGTAATGAAGAAAAACTTTAATACAAGTTTAACAACAATACTATATTCAGTGATTGGATAACAACAACAATACTTTAATCAGTGATTGGATAACAACAACAATACTTTAATCAGTGATTGGATAACAACAACAATACTTTAATCAGTGATTGGATAACAACAACAATACTTTAATCAGTGATTGGATAACAACAACAATGCTTTATTCAGTGATTGGATAACAACAACAATGCTTTATTTAGAGGGTAAATAAATACAGACGGACTTACATATCAAGCCGGTTTCATAAAAAATACTTCACTTTCATTACAACTGCATAGCGAGAAGCATCTGATAATAACAATAATATTTTACTACTGAGAAATGTTGGCTGATTTTAAGGTGAAGTTTTTGATTTAACGGTTTCATTTAGCATATTCCTTTAACCTAATTTGACAGCCTTAACGACCTGATGGGTATTAGGGAGTGTAGACATGGGCAGCGGGGATCACGTGCTTTACCACGGGATGCTTGTAAACGACGGGAGCGGGAGCTGGATTGGCATTGACGGTAACGTCGGCGGTGTTCTGGCTGTCAGTGCCGGGCTCGTTGGTGTCGACCGTGGCACGGAAACCGCCGGCATCAGCGGCGTAAGTCACCTTTCTCCAGATGCCGTTGGCATCGGCATAACCGTAGCTTCCAGAGACAGCTCCGCTGGCGTCAGCGCTCTCCTGGCGGCTCAGTTGAGTACCAAACTCATCGGCAGTCTGGAAACCAAAGTCAAATGGTTCGGGAGCAGCCTGGAATAAGAGTCGAAACAGAACTGTATTAGAAATATTACTATTTTACTTGTTGAGCATTTGATTGGTTAACTGTTTCGTGTGTTCATTATTGACACTATTTGATTGGTTAACTGTTTCATGTGTTCATTATTGACACTGTTTGCTTGGTTAACTGTTTTATGTGGTCATTATTGACACTATTTGATTGGTTAACTGTTTCATGTGTTCATTATTGACACTATTTGATTGGTTAACTGTTTTATGTGGTCATTATTGACACTATTTGATTGGTTAACTGTTTCATGTGTTTATTATTGACACTATATGATTGGTTAACTGTTTCATGTGTTCATAATTGACACTATTTGATTGGTTAACTGTTTCATGTGTTTACTGACACTATTTGATTGGTTAACTGTTTCATGTGTTCATTATTGACACTATTTGATTGGTTAACTGTTTCATGTGTTTATTATTGACACTATTTGATTGGTTAACTGTTTCATGTGTTCATTGTTGACACTATTTGATTGGTTAACTGTTTCGTGTGTTCATTATTGACACTATTTGACTTGGTTAACTGTCTTCATGTGTTCATTGTTGACACAATTTGACTGGTTAACTGTTTCACGAGAGTCGAAACAGAACTGTATTAAACAAGAAAGTTAGCTATTAAGTCGAGACGAATATTCAGCTGATACGACAGAGCTTACACGAGTTTATCTTTGATTCGGCACGAGTATAATCAATATTCAAATACTGCTTAACCCAAGTTTGTTCGTGAGTTTGATCGTTTTCCAAAATCCCAACTTGACGAAAATAGTTTGAATTTGAGTATAACCTTAACGTTTTTATTATATTAACAAAAATTCAGTTATTTAGTCCTAGAGGGAACTCAACCTTTGACTAAAATGAGAGGGAAAATGCCAAGTTATATTATTCATAAACAATGGAGTAAAAACAACGCCATCGTCATGAGTGAAATATAGATCCCTAGGGTTCAGGCATAGCAATCCCTAATTTGGAACTGTTGATCAAAGAGAGGAAAACATTCAGCGGTACCCGCCTCCCTTGCGGCCACTCTTGTCCAAATACTATTAGCCGTCACAGTTATGAAACCTCCAAGCCTGGAAACGCGGAGCGTATATGTTATATGGCATATCGTAGCTAGAACCCTAGACCTTCTCATGCGCAGCCCGGTACGATAATGATTAGGCTAAGCCTATCCCATAGGTTTGCTATTTTGTATGTATATATGTTCAATTTGTAGGGCTAATATCATGTTAAAACAAACTTCTGTAGTGATTAAAAATTAATAGCTATATTGTGTATCTTAACTGGTTCACTGAATTATTTCATCTTTCTTAATCTTATATAACTATGATACATATAGGAGCATTGTTCACTTTTATCGTTGTTGCTATGATACATATAGAAACATTGTTTGCTTTTGTCATTGTTGCTATGATGCATATAGAAACATTGTTCGCTTTTATCATTGTTGCTATGATGCATATAGAAACATTGTTCGCTTTTATCACTGTTGCTATGATACATACAGAAGCTTTGTTCACTTTTATCATTGTTGCTATGATACATATAAAAACATTGTTCAGTTTTACCATTGTCGTGAAGTTTGAAAGATAATACAAACAAAATAGTTTCTCAGGCCTAGTATCGGGGGGTCAACAGGGACTATACCTCTGAGGGTGGTGGCTGAGGAGTAGTTGTGGAAGTTTACAATAGAATCTAGACTGAATTAATACGCACAGGTTAATAAATAATGGATAGGGATTCTTTGCTAACAATAACCTGTAATATACACATATAGTAGTAACATCAAGAACGGGATATATATAGTGAAGTAACATCAAAAGGAAGGGCAACATTTCCACGCAGAATATAAACTAATTAAAAATAAATCGCAATAACAAAATAACATAACACCAGGGAACAATCTATATGGTGGGTAAATATGAAATGTATCCTGGTTTTGGAGGTGTTTGCGTAAGTAAAACCCTCGAAATAGTGGGGATACTACCTTGCTTCACAACAAAACAAAAACCCAGTAAACAAAGTAAAATCTGGTAAGGATATGGGACGTACTACTCTCTAAAAATGAGCAAAAGACCTTTCTTTTCTTCCCCAAGTTTTGAATGTCAGTTTATAAAACTTGGTTGTACCAAATCTTTCTACATTCTTTGCTTTCAATTCCGGAGAGATTAATTATAAAGATAAATGAAACAGAGTTATTCTAACTCTTCAGTATAACTCATGTTACGATTTCCAGAAATTTCGCTGAGGATTGTTGTCAAAGTCTGTTACTATTTAATGTCAAGTTCGGTTTAATATTCTGTTGGTTTATTACTTACGTCATAGACGTCGGGATGGTAAGCGTATGGAGCAAGAAGTTTACCACCAAACACGCCGGCTACAGCAGCAAGAAAAATGACAGCCTAAAACAAAAAGTAAAAAAATTCATATTTAGTTAGGCTTAGCAGTAAGAATAATTCAAATGCTAACACACCGGCTACAGCAGCAAGAAAAATGACAGCCTAAAAAAAGTAAATAAAATTCATATTTAGTTAGGCTTAGCAGTCTGAATAATTCAAATGCTAACACACCGGCTACAGCAGCAAGAAGAATGACAGCCTATAAAAAAAAGGAAATGAAATTCATATTTAGTTAGGCTTAGCAGTCTGAATAATTCAAATGCTAACACACCGGCTACAGCAGCAAGAAGAATGACAGCCTATAAAAAAAAGGAAATGAAATT